GGGGGGGGTGGGGCATTCTTTTTATCAAACAACCATTCCCCCATTCCGAGATTTTTCTATGGGGGTCACTGGTGCAGGGGAAAATGTGATCCAATGGACATATTGTCTGCGAGGGTTCATACCCCACTCCTGGTACCATATTATGAGTAGAGATTGAGCACAATCCATCTGCTTCGAACAAGTGGGCTCCTGGCAGAATTTATTCTGATGCAACACAACAGGTGTTGATCCAAATCACGTGATCTAATTACACAGTACAACCAATCACAACAGTTGTAAGACTTAAGACAAGATTTTCTGAGGGGATGAAGCTGAAATGCAAAAGTTCTGAAGATCATATGCCATACTGAACACTTCTTTGGTGGGGCAATACAATATAGGCTATGAAATTATGCATGTTTTTCTAGTGCTTTGAGGAAAATTTTGTGTTTTGATGATTTTTAAGGAAATGCTTGTCAACCCTTTTGTTTTTGTATCTGTAGGGGCAAGATGTGAAAGTACATTTTCAACAGGGGTGAGGAAGGGGTGGCAGGATGGGGAGAATATCAAGCCATTCCAATTATTATTGAAATGGTCCTCTGACTTCAAGTCAGAATGGGTTCACACTCCACCCACGATGCTGTATTGTTACTTTAGGAATCAGGGCTGTGCTATTGCAAAGTGTGGTGACCTCTTGCACCTTACTTTTGCTGTTCAGTGATTGAAATGTTAGTTTTTTTCTTAAGTCATGTGCATGGTATGCAGTATTTCACAGGTTCAAAGTAATGGGCTCCTTGAAAAGAATCTTTACGTTTTTCTGGATGAAATAACAAATATTTTTCTGTTGCCATTTACAGAATGTGAGATTGATTCTATTGCTTGGAGTGATGATTCTTTGTTTCTTGCTATTGGAGAGAGGTAACAGTTATGAGAAAAAAAGATGCTCTACTATTGCAATGTACATACTCTACAGTACACTGTATTCGATGAAAGTGGTTTCGGCAAGTCTTTTTTTAAGAATTGGTTAAGGTCTTTGTAAGTCTGTTAGATGTGCATTGTACAATGTGTTGACATCTTTTACAGGTCAGGAACCTTCCACTTTGTTCATGTAGCCTCAAGACAAATATTGTTTTCCCAGGTAAGAAATAAGCAATCGTTTCTCATAGGCTTTCCTTTTATTGATTATGTGCAGAATTTTTTAGACAATGTGAACACATTTGGAGTTGGATAATTACAGCATATGGGGTCTCTAATAGCATTACCCCGCCCAGCGGCAGGATTTCAATTTTCTCACGTGCAATAATGTTGTGTCCACCTCTCAATAGAGTTCACTCATATCTGAAGTCACTGCCTCTTTTTGTATCTCTTCTAATATGCCCACTGCTACAAGATAATAAGTTGAGAGGGCGTAATTACTGATAAAAATCATCTTGTTTCTTCCAGGAATTGGATCCTGATGGAAATTCAAACAACAGCAATGAGTGCACATTTCTTTCAATGAAATTTACTGCTCAGAAACACACAGGTGAAAATTTTTTATTGATAACACCCAGAGGTTTTTTTTGTTTTACTCACAAACTGTTTAAGAAGAGTTGTCAAAGGCACTTTGTCAGTGTTTTGATTGTGCAATGGCTTTCACCTGAATTACTCAAAGAGCACAAGCTTGGTGTCTGATACTGTAGTTGGTAAGGTGCTCCTGGCTGTCTTAGCAGGCGTTGAAGCATATGATGGTGATGTTTGGCATGTATTTTTCTGGGTTACTAGTGTGGCCAACTGGCAGCACTAAAACACGGAATCAGGAATCCGGAAACGGAAACGGAAACGGAATACGGAATCTGTGAAAGAAGGTTCCAAGCGATCGATTTGAAAAAAATAATATTAGCAATGACAATGAAATAAATAAACAGATAAAAAAAAAGGCACAAATGAATAAATTAGCTGAGTACAGGAGAGGAGACTGCTGTGTCACTAGAGGAGTCGATTCCGGTGAAAA